TGTCTCTAAGCTAGATAACTAGGACTGCAAATCCCTGGTGATAATCACAGCCACCATGCCTGCAAGCTCTCCCCCAGACCATTCATCTGGCTTGATGATGCTTTAAAGAGACATCTAATGAGGATAATCTGATTCAAATCCCCTCCTGCTTCTGGGCAGCAGAGCAATTCAGGCCCCCTCAAACTCCTTCTTCCTCCATGACTGTCTTTATTTCCCCTTCTTATATGAATCACTGTGGGGTTTCCTTTGCTTTTTGCATTACTATTTTAAATCTTTGATATGACCACTGCAATCAAGATTCAGTCCCTTTAGAACCTAATTAACATGAAAACAGACTCAGTTTTACTCATAGCCTTATAATGGGATGCTGGCCGCTCTCACTTCGGGTGCAGGGAACATTGCAGCCTGCTTAAAAAATTCCCTCTTTACCTGATTCAATCAGAACCACTTACAGGAGATACACAGACACATTTCAAGCTTGGCAAGAGAGTCAAGCTTTGGGAAGTGGGGAAGATCTCAATCACAGTCAGCTTCCAGCGCAGAGCAGATGGTGAACATTCCGACTATATAATTTATAGGACACCATCACTATGTATTAGTCCCATACAGTGGCTGAGCTCAGCCAAACCACAGCTCATGCACACTCAGGGGGACTCTCACAGGTGATGCTCCACATGCAACCTGGGTAAGACCCAGGTTTTGAAGAAAGCACACGCTTCATGTTTCATCTCTTTTATAACACAGAGCAGAAGATGCAGTGCAGCAGCCCTTGTCCCAGAGGGTCTTCCTCTTCCCCCTAGACTGGGCAAACGCTTCCCAGCCTGCAAACTTGTGTTTGAGCTAGGTCTGTATTATACAACATCTGCGTGCAAGCAACTCCCCTTCCCTTCCCTGCGAGCAGCTCCCGCAGCAGCACGATGGATGCCAGGGCAGCCAAGGCCAGCTGTAGGGGTTTGTTTGCACTTCTTCAGGGCTGCCAAGCCATGCTGGCACAGCCTGGCATGCAGCATGCTGGGGGTCACGATGCCCAAGAGGGACGTGCATCACCACCACAGCTCAATGTCAGCAGTGCCTAAGCCTGCCTTTCACCCAGACAGATACACAGTGGGCACAGTGCAGGACCTGTAGGTCAGGAGGGAGAATTGCTCAGGGTGGCCAAGTTGGGTTGTAATGAAGAAGTAAAAAGGCAAACTCAAGAAATGAAAACACTCCCTCCAGAGCAAGATGAGGGCAGCTCCAGCCTTGTCTCTAAGGTTGCAGAGTTTTCAATCCCCTGCATGGCTAAAAAATGTCCTGGAGATAAGTGTGCAAGACTGAGCCTTTAGAGGTGCCTGGTGTGCAGGCACAGAGTGACACTGTGCTATCCCAGGGTTTCCCCAGCTCCAATGCCTTTGATCCCCTGCTATTCAGTGTAACAGCATGAGGCACTGAGTCACCCCTCAGTCCCACAGGGGAATGAGGGTTAATTAGTTGATTCTGACACCTGTCTTTAAAGAGAGATCACCACCACACGAGCCACAGGTTGTTACTGAGCTGAGGCAAATGCAGCCCTGGCTTCATGTCTGTGATCTCTGGAAGAGCAAGAAAAAGAAACAGCAGTGGGGGAAAAAAATTGAATATTCACACTGGGGCTGGCAATGCCAACGCTGCTGTCAAAACTAGGAGAGTGGCCAGCACAGAGGTTCAGGAGAGCTTTGGGCGGACCAGTGCAGACAACAATAGTGCCTCAAGGACTGCCAGCCCTCAACAAACACCCAAGGAGCTCCAACAGTCCGAGCACAGGGCAGGAGCAAGGCAGTCACAGCATGGCACTGTCACCTTGTCACTGCATGGTGGGCACATAGCAGGACCAGAAAATGGGAAAAGCCTCCTTATCTTGTTTAATGCTGGCTGGGCTTTTTAGTTTTTTCCAGCATGCCCTGGCACAGCTTGTCGTAGAGCCAAGAGGGCGTTGGGATCCAGAGGCTAGAGCAGACCCTGAACACCGGAGCCGTGTTTCCCAAGGGGAGGTGCTCTCTCTCGTTGTTTTTGTCCTTGCCCCAGCTCGGTGCTCCTTCCCGTGACACACAGAGCTGTCGCAGCAGCCCGCAGCTGCACCTGGGCTGGCTGCCTGGCCGCATGTAAAACACGGGCTCTTTCACACGCCGCTGCCTGCCCCCGGCACAGGCGGGGCACACGGCACCGTGCCTTTCCTGGCTGCTCTCAAAATGCCCCAGCACACCGTCAGCTCCAGGGGAACGAGGGATGCGACACGGCAGCACGTGGCAGCTCTCGCAGAAGGCGCCTGTGGCAAAGGAAACGTGGCCCAGCACGGGCTGGGAGCCCGTGCTGCTCAGCTGCCAAGGAGCTGAGCAAGTCACATCACTCCAGAGTCCCCCGTGCCCGACCTCTCTTGCACACCGGTTCTTCACAGCCAAGACAGCCCCTCCTGCACAGAGCTGACCCGAGGGGATGCCTTCCTGCCTAGTATTGCCGTGCTGTATTAATATTTAACAGCGAGGAACAGATCCAGAGACTTTGATTTCCCCGCTGGCCAATTCAAGGATAATTGAACTGTGCAGGGAATTTCAGCATTTCAGAGGGTGGTTTCGTTCCAGTTCACACCAAAACCTAACCATGCCGCAATGCCTTGTGAGAAGGATTGCAGCCAGTTTCAGGCAGCCTCCCTGCAGCGGAGTCAGGCATGTGAGCAGCCCAAAACCAGCTGATCTCAGGAGGTGCCCGGCCAGCAGACCCCACCAAACCCTCCCCCACAGAACTTAGGTAAAAGTCAAGCTCCGCTAAAGAGAAATAAAATGGTTTTTTTTCTCTCAATTCCAGATATTTGTGACTCCAAAGTAATGTCAATTTGCCCTCATTACACACCCCCAGTGGAGGCAGGTTGTGCTGTAGAAGCAGAGCAAGCGAGGCACAGTGAATTTTCACTCCTGTGCCCAGGGTGATGCAAGAAATCAGCCACAGAAGTGAAACGAATCCAGTGGTTTTGGCTCCTGCCTCTGGGCTGTACCAGCTCTTGCCTTCTCTTGCATATAAATCACTTTTCCCCACCAGTGAAGGACAGCTGGCCACTGAATGGAAAGTGGCAGTGGTTAAGCAGCCCACAGCAACACTGCACACCGGCTTAGGGTGGGGAGTGGAGAACACTCAGAGTGCAGAGGAGACTGCCAGGGGATCTGGGCCAGCTGAATGGAAACAGAGCACCTGGAAGCCAGCCAGTGCTCCTGCACAATCAAGACGAGTTAAAAACCCCACAGGAGGAAGCCTCTTCCTTGCTTTTGGCAGCAGAGCAGAGCTGACCTCTGCCACAGCTCTGCCAGTCAGCTCCAGGCAGCAGAGCAGGAGTCCCTTCTTGTCCAGCACTGCTGTGGACAGTGCTCATGATGAGAGCAAACCAGGAGCTCTTGCAGCTTGACCACAGCTGCTAAGCACCACTGCTGACCTGAGCCAGCCACTCCCTTCAAACTACCGGTCTTGGCAAGCAAAGACATCCAGTTTTAACCAGTCCCCAAAGCAAATAGGAGAGGTGGCCTTGAATTTAAAACTCTACTGCCAGTTTCAAGGTTTGGAAGGGACAGATATATCCCCAGAGTTGGATTTATCTCTGATCTTTATTCCAGGAACAGAGATCTTTTCCTACTGGTGCCATTTCAGTTCGCAGATTTTCTCTCCCATTGGTACAGATATTTCATGTTTTATCATGCTTAAAAGTTGGTCTGATTTATCTGCTGGTGCAACAGAGTCAGTGAGAAAACCTGGCACAGCACAGAGCTGTAATCCCACCAGGTAATGCCAAGCAAGCCGATTTGTGCCGAAATCTCTCACAGATCGCCTCTGTGTTTGACTAGCAGGCTGAGGATGCAAAATATCCTTCAAGGGCCTGGATTGAAAATGAAGTCCTGTGGGTCAACCTGCCATAGCAGAGGAGACCATATTACAATCTCATTTACTTCCATCCCCCCCAAAAAAAGCACTGTGAAACCAAAGCTTACAGCAGTGCAACTGGTATGAGCTCTTATATACTAATTAAACTGCTTTTATTCTAATGTTGCTGACATAACTGACAAACAGAAACATCCACAAACTGAAAGAGTCAAACCAGCAACGCTCACAGGTACTTTCACCACAGAGAGGGGGATTCCTCTTTGAAAATCTCCACAGGGATAGGGAACTGAAGCAAGAGAGAAGAGAAAGAAAGTAACTTCAAAATGTTTCTATTGGTTAAGATTTCAGTCAGCTTGGCAAGCTCTTTCACGAGGTTTGAACACAACAGAGCCTGAGTCACCAGCCTTAATTCAGCTTCAGGTCTTCCGTGCCTCTGATCCCAATCCAAGTACTACTTTGACAGGACCTTTTTCAAACATTAGCCCTGGCTACTCCATCCAGATGAAAGATATCCTCAGCTGCCTTGTCTCCTCTGGTAGTAAGGGCAGTGTTATGGCCTGTCTAAACTAATAGCTGACAGCTCCTAGAGGTATTTACATAGTTGAAGATGTAGCTTTAGATGTGTCCCAACTACTTTGGGTTGTAAAACATGATGGACCTGAGACACAGTGTCATATTCTTAGATACGCTCTGCTTCCCCTGCCAGTTCTAGTAAATACTTTCTCCTAAGAGTAAGAAAAATATTTGCCCTAAGGTGAAGCAAGATGCTGCTCTTAAGGAACTAGATTTTATTATGTACCAGCTGAGATTCAGCCACCTGTAGGAAGTAAAAACAGCATCTTTCTTCTTTGAAAGTACTAGAAGGAAAGAAATACCACATCTGAAACATAACAGTGGAAAAAAAGCCCTGCTTGAAGGTGCAGGAGTGCACAGTAGCAGATGTGGGTTACTCCAAAGCATTCTGGGTGGACCAAAAAAAGTTTTATTTTCACTAGTTAAAAAAGCACAGTGAAATTACTCTTGAGACCAAGGGATTCAACCTGAGTCCATCTGTTATTAGTGTGAACCGGAGAGCAACCTAGGATATGGAAAAGTCTCCTTGCCTTATAGGAGTTGCAGAGGACACAAAAGAGTGGCTCATTTTATGCCACTTCCCTTCCCTTCCTCCCACAGACTGCACCTGCACATCGAGAGCAAATTGAAATCAGCCTATTCTAAGCCATGGTCTCCTTTATTTTGAGGGACTCAAAGCAAGAGCAAGGCTGAGACAGCATAACCAACACAGAAACTTGTTTCTCAGCATGATTTTCCCCTCTCTGGTGGCCAAGTGCTGGTTAGTACCTTCAGGATGGCAAAGCTAGCTGAAAGTAGGGCATGCCCATTAAGCTTCCAATCCTCCTTACACAGCCACGACCAGTTTGCACATGTCTTTCTCCTTTGGGTTTTAGCCAGAGTCCAGCCCTTTTGGGCATCATAACACAGCTGAATGGTTTAGCTCCTTTTGTTTCAGCTGACAAACACCCTAGCCCTCCCCCATCAGCAACAATACAACTGGAGCTGGGATTTGTGTGTCCTCTGAGCAAGGATACAGGCTTTGTGCCTTGCTGAGCTGTCTTTGCAAGGACTGCCAACACTCACAGCTGATTAAGCCTGCAGTGCTGCTTTCTGCTTTTCCTGCTCACAGACAGATGTCAGAAACAAGCTAACCGAAACAGTGCACACAGCTAGAGCTCTGCACCTAGGAACATTAAAGCAGACTATTAGGGATTAAATAAATTAAACCAGAGGGGAGCTTAACACAGTCTCTCTAGGCTTCATTGCTGGGTAAGAAACATCCCAGCCTTTCAAAAAGCACTGTATTCTGGCAGGTGGCTCAACTCAATGAACAGAAAGGGCTGTATTTGAAAAGCTTTTGCCACCACCACATGGTTGAAGCCACGAGTGCAGCAAAACACCTAACTGGGAGTTTGAGCTGCCAGCAAGGACCAGCCTGCCAGGGCAAACTGGGGCAAACGTTTGCAGGTTTTAGAGCCCATGCCACATCGCTAATAAAGAGCATACAACAATTACATATTACTTCTTTTATTAAATTAGAACACTCAAACCTTAATGACTCGCAGTAAGCACAAGGCACAACTTACAGCTGGTCAGAACCTGTTAGTAAAGGGATTATACACAGCATATGCCAAAGCAGCTGAGACAACCTGTTTTCTGTGTGCTGCTGTGGTCCTGGCTGCTGGGTTTCACCTCTGGTCAGCCCCAGAGGCTGCACTACTGGAGCTGTCTTTGGGCTTGACAGGTGGAGTCTTTTTCTTTGAGGATCTAAAAGAAAGCTGAAGTGCTAGATTGATTATCTTCTTTAGTCCCTTCCTTCCCAATTAGGTAGCAGACATGGAAATAGCGAGTCCTTTGCTGGGCAGATGCTCACACAGCTGGATCATTAACTGCCAAGTGCAGTCTATCTAGAAGCTCCAGGCCAGCCTTCCTTCCCCACTCTTCTCTTGGTGGACAGACAAAACCTGGCAGCAAGGTTTCACATTAGACTAAGGTGCTGCATTTCAACTGCAAGAAGGAGCCTGCCGCCTCTTCTCTGGTACGTTGGAGACAGTAGCCTGTTCTTCTAATATTCTCTCAGAAAGACATGTAGCTCCTGGCCACTGGCCAAGTGGAAAAGACTCAAACTTGATCATGAAATGGGATTCAGATGTAATAATGGATCAGAATCCCCAATTCAAACTCCCCTCCCTATCTGTTATCCACTCAATAGGAATCAAACTTTTATTGAGAGGTAAGCAACTAGGAACAGTTCTGGATGAGTGGCCATGACAAGTCACTCAAAAAAAGCTTCCCAATGTGATTCCAACTGCAGCAGCTTGAATGCCTGAAGTGAAAAAAACCTGATGAATGTGTGTGAAGTATCACAATGAGTAGCTAATCATCATCAGACTTCCTCATCAGCGAGACAAAGGACAAGGCAGAAACTCCCGGTATGTGACCGGCACAGATTCCTAACATTCGCACAAGTCGTTGAGCAGTAGCCACTCGAATGCCTTCCAACTGGAAACAAAATGGAGAAATTATTTAATCAGTACAAAAGAAGAAAAGCAACGGTAAGCTTTGATAAAAGAAAGAACCAGAGCAGGCATCAAGTGGCTAGCTACAGAAAATCCCAAACAGGCCCATTTACTTCCCTAATGTTAAGGAAGGTACAGTGATGCCAGCTGGAAGTGCTGAAGGGCTTGCCAAAGGCACAGATTCTACCTGCTGGTAGGGAAACAGTCTCTGAGCATGCAGTGACAAGTACACAGAAAAGTGAAGTGTGCTGCTGCTGAATGAAAAACTCTCCCTCCGACTTTTTAAACCAAACAGGTAATTGGAAAGAGTGGCATATCAGGTGGCAAAATCGTCAGTGAAGCCACAAAGTTTGGCTGACACAAAACATTACATGGGCAAGGGAGTCACATGGCAAATAATAGCTCAGGGGCTCCCAGGAAGAGAAAATGCAGCAAGGAACAAGTGTATCAAGGCTTTGCATATCAGAGATGTTTTTTGTTAGCTTAGGCTTGCCTTCATGAGGTTTTGAAGTAGCACAGGAAGGACCAGATTACTAGAAGACTCATTCCAAGGACAGCCAGACTCCTGTAACTCTACTGTTCTTGTAGACAGAGTCTGATCTCTGACACTTATGAAGGCCAGCAGCCTATGTATTTATTGTTACATGCATTTGTTGCTAATATAATGATGTTTCTAACAATTACAGAGCAGTGGAATTCGGAAATCTCCTGAGATGTCAAATAAGCACCTTACCTCCAGCTCACAGAATAGCACAGGACTGCAGTAGGCTTCTCCTAATTTACAGATAGCATTTGTCTCAATGCTGCAAGCATTCACCCTGCCAACTAAAAAAACCAAACAAACATTTTCCCACATTACAAGCCTCATAATCAGCAATCAGTGAAGAAAAGTTTGAGGAAATTCCACATCCAGAGAACAATCCAGAGTTGAGGAGTGGATTTAGCTAATTTTGAGAGCATAATAGAAGGTAAGGCAACAGTAAGCAGTGCAAACAGAATGGTACAAGTTTTGAAACAGAATTAGCACAGAAGTCTTTCATAATACTAACAGCAGGAACAGCACCACATCACTCTTCATGTAACATTAACATTCTGCATAAGGGATCAGCACACCATCAGCTTTCACTCACTTACCAAAAGTCCTCCTGACTCATATGGTATCAGAGTGGTTTGGTCTCCAAGGAATCCACTTCATCAAGAGAGCCATAACACAAGACAATGCTAAGACTCCTCTACTTCAGAATTAGGCCTCCTGACCCCCAAATTCCAGGGACACAGCACCTATATTCCAAGACTGAGCAGTACAGTCTGGCCCCTCTAGCTCCTCAGAGCTGAAGCAGGGAGGGTACACAGGAAAGCACTGGGAGACAAAGACTAGAGGCACAACATGGACAGACAGTACACAGCAGGGATACTAGTCCTGTATTAAAACTATACTTGATAGTTTTGTAGCTCATCCATTTAGATTCACTTTATTACCACAGTATCATATGCTTCTCACTGCTCATTAAGATTGTCATTAAGGCAGATCTGCAAGAGCAGATAGAACAGACTTCTGGACTGCCACACACACACAAAAAAAAAATCAATTACACAAATCATATTCAGAGATTAGGGACAGAGAAGAGAGGTCTGACTGACAAAAACAAAAAGCTGAGAGCAAGTGAGCATGAGAGAACTGTGTTTTATCTAGGAAAATAATAAAAAAGGCAGAGGAGCTCAGAAATAATTTAAACAAAGTTTCAACAAAGCCACTGGTTTCCTTTAGTTTGTTTCAAGTTAAGTCAGCGCCCTGTTTTAAGAAAACCAAGCAAGAGCTGTGCTACTTGAAGAGGAGGAAGAGGTGCCATACGTACCCCCAGTGACAAGAAAGCACACTTTCCCCAGGAAGAAGCCGGCATCCACATGGGCTAGGGAAGTTTCGACATTCTTCAAGCTGTCAGAAAAGTACAGGCAATCCAGTAGGACAGGGAGGTTAAACCAGTGCAGCATAAGGATAACAGGAATAATTTTCAGAAGCACAATTAGAAAAACAATGATGTTAACATCTGCTGATTTGTGAGCTCGCAAAGTTCTGCTTTATGCTAAAAGCATGACATCAGAGACCTCTGTAATACCCACAGCTGTTTAATAACCCATAACATATCCTTTCTACTCAAGACTCAACAGTTAGAGTTAGTTTGAACAGTGTCCTCCATGATTTACAGACACTAAGCATCTGAATTCATTAATACCCAATGAAACTTCAGCACCACTTCGGCTCTTTCAGGAAGCGCTTGCCCACACATTTCTGCAGCACCATCTGTGCTGTAAGTATGCAGCTGGGCCTGTCATTTTTGGTAAATGAGAGCCCAGGATCATCAGTCACAAGTTAAGTAAGCAATAAAATGCTGACTTCTGTGCCTTAGCAAGTCTTTACTTGTGGCCTGGGGAAACAAGTATCATTTCTACAAAGGCGAGCACATGATAGAAAAGGGATCAATCTCTGCAGACCTTTCTCTTTTGCCTAGAGATATCCATGGTGCTGATCCCACTGACCAGGAATATCAGTGAACTGAGGACACAGCCACTTGCTGGTTATTGGGCAGCACTGCCCAGTGCACATCAGATTTCTGCATATTACAGAACTTCACAGCACACCAGCACCTCCATCTAATTCTACAGACAGCATCTTTCCAAAGCTCGGTTCATATTGTCACAAATCCAGATCCAGAAATAAATTCTGCCTTCTCTGCTATGGCAACTTAGTGCACAACAGGCATGTTTATTGGACAGAGCAGTTCAGTCCTAATCCACTGCTGGAGGCCAGAAAGCCACTGTAAAAATTACTGAATTCTTCCACCACAGCAAGTCTTGGGTTTGAAACCCATTATTCAGCAACTCCAGTACAGTAAAAATGCAGATTTAGCCATTAAACCAAGAAAGAATATTAGTCTCCCCTCTCATCTTTTTGGCCTTCTCTTACCTGTACTTGCTCTTGATGTCAATCATAAACACAACCAGATCTATCCTGGGTCGAAGATGATCCCTCTCAGAAGGTAAGGGGAGGGATGTAGCAAGGTGACTGAAAGATAACAAATTTGCCAGTTTAACCAACTAGCTTGGTAAGACAGTACCCACTTTCCCATAATCACACAACCTCTGCAGTTCACCCTGTAGCAAGTTACCAGGAAGCCTGCTAATTACTAAATACGTGGGCATTGAAGAGGCACTGTGATTGTTTAAGTGGTACTCTCATATCTTAGGCCCACTCACAGTTGCTGACAGGCACAATGGTAATTGCTAGACAAGGCTGGTTATAATGGGACGCTTATTAGAGCATAACAAGACTCACAGAAACATTTTCTCTGTGCAGATCTCTATGGCAAGTCATTTAGTTTAATTGTTACAAAGAGTCCTTTCTAACAAAGCAAACCCCAATTCTTTACTGGAATATTTTGCTGCCAAGTTTCAGTTAAAATGCATCAGTGCTTTTCTGTCACGTTCCAGAGACACTGCTCATATGCTCACACAGCAGAGGCGACCTTTCCAGGTACAGAAGAACCTTAAACCACAAATTTGTCACTAGAACAGCTTTATAGATGAAGTTATAACTCAAGAAGAGCTTCTATTATATCATTACCCTCCCCCTTTTAACCCTTTTGCTATGTCAGAAGCTACTAGGTTAGTTCAGGCATCCTTCTACACCGTACTAGCACTGCTAATTAGAGCTGTTGGAAGAAATACCGGCTGGGGATTTTTGCATCTCTAAAAAAGCCAAACAACCACAAACAGCGAACAACAACAAAAACCAGACAAGCATACCAACCAAAAATTCAACCAAAAAAGGTTTCAGCAGTACATAACTGGATCTTCCACAGGAAAGAACATTATCAGCACTGCATTTTTGGAAGATCACCTTAGTTTAAACTGGGAAAACAAACATCCCAGAAGTTCAGTTAATCTCACAATCCACTTCCTCTCTGAAGCCAAGGAAGAAACACTGATTCTGGACTTCTTGGGGATTATTACTTCTAGCAATTCAATCTCAAGGACTTCACAGTGTTCTCCAGCAGCCACAGACCACGGCACACATTCCCTTCTATTAATCCTATACAGTTTGTAGTTTTGTTTGCTAGTCTCCAAATAAAGGTGTTTTGTTTCTTCTACCTATGGGAGATATGATTTAACAAAACATTCTGAAACTAACACAAGAGATGAGCAAAGTGAGCTTGAAAGACACACTGCTTATTAATTGAAACACAAACCAGCTAATTAATTTAAGGTGAAATTTAGAGAGACTTTGATGAAAGTATCAGATCTCCTTGGGGGGGGGGGGGGGGGGGGGGGAGATAAAAGTGACCCAGAAAAGCACTGCATTGTTTGGAATCCTGTTATATTTAAACCAACAGGACTAGATGATGACAGCAGTCTCCAGACATGCACTGCAGAAGCCTTCCCCCCACCCAGCAATAAGAGACACAAAAACCCAAGCCCTGCAATTCTTCACCCAACAGCTGTACCTGACAGGTAGACCTGTCAGATTAGATACCATATTTGTTTGTAATGTGTACAATCCCAAAGCAACTCAGTGGGGAAAGGAACCCCACTGGCTTTGCTTTATTTGCTAAATATTTGCTTTTAGCAATATTTACACAGGGATGTATCCTGCTCTGCAGCACGAGCACACGATTCTGTGCCTTTGGGCAGTTACCCAGCTGCAGTACCAGCAGCCATCTAGTTATGGCACTCCACAGCTCAGCAGAGGCTGCAGGTTTTGCATAGAAAATGGGGTAATTCATTTACTATTAGTTAGCACAGACATCCAGGATGCCACAATCAGAGCACTACAGTCACTCTAATTAGCCAGCAGAACATTAGCTTGGGTTGCTTTTACTGCATAGCCATGGATTACAGCGGAGAAATAACACAAACACCTTCTGAAGAGCTGACTAAACTCATTTGGTCTTGGCAAAAGAGCTGTCAAGGACATTTTATTGTAAAAAGTTAGTTAATCAAGCTTTTAAGACAGGACATGTCATGTGGCTAAAGCTGGAATTCCAAGTGCATCTTAATAGCTTGAGGAGGAGAAGCACACATGTGCATACAAACCAGAAAACAGCTACAAAGAGCATCCAAAGCAATGGGCATCTTTCAGAAACACCTGTTCTCCTGCAAGTACTTGCAAGCATTATACCTGTCCCATTTTGTCCCAGGATGTTTAATTTCTGTCTCTCGGGTGGGGGAAAAAAATGTTTTGCTCTTACACCTTTCCAGTTTAGTAATCAAACATCTGTGCAACACGTAAAAGGCAAGGGTATGCGCATTGTGAACACGAACGTGGGAAATGCTTCCCCCGTCTCCAAGCACGCCCAAACTGCCCTGAGCACAGAGGGGTTTGCCCGTGCAGATGCGGCCACATCTGGGCACTGCTGCTCTCTAGCGCTCGCAAAAGCGAAGTCTCTCTCCGAACCGTGTGTTCCAGAGCTCCAGCTCCTGCCACGGGCACGGAGCCCGCGCTTTTAACCAATTTCTGTGCATCGCGAATCTGAAGCGTTCCGTGAGCTGGCGTCGCAGCCGCTGGCTGTGCAGCGCCGGCAGCAGGCGGCAGCGGCCCCGCGCGGGCCCGGGCCGCAGGCGGCGCGTCCCGCCCTCCGCCGCTCGCTCGCTCGCTCACTCACATGCTGATGTTGAAGTCCTTGTTCTCCTGCAGGATCGCCTCCGCCAGCTTCTGCTGCAGCGCCTCGTCCGAGCCCACGAGCTGCGGGCAGAGGGAGAGCGCGGCCCGCGCGCATTCGCATACCGGCCCCGGCCAGCCAGGCCCGACCCGGCGGAGGGTACGGGACAGGCGGGCGCCCACAGCGGGGCCGCGCCGGGAAAGGGAAGGAGAAAGGACGGCGGGGCCGGGCCGCGGAGCGGCGCCACCGCCGGACCTACCAGGAGGACGCCGGAGTTGAGCGGCGGGAGCTTGTTGAAGGGCCGCAGCACCGCCATCCCCGCGGGAGACGGCGCCGCCGGCCCGCCGGAATTCAAACGGCAGCCGCGCTCCGCCTCGCGCCGACGTGGAGCGGCGGGGCCGGGGCCTGCGGGGCGGGGCGGGGCATAGGGGCGGGCGCTGTTAGCTGCGGGCGGCAGGGGGCGCTGCGGGGCTGGCGGCCATCGCCTCACGGGCCGTCCCCGCGTGGGAGGGACGCGCAGGGATTGTCGCGTCCAGCTCCTGGCCCTGCACAGGGGTCACAGCACGGGCCCCAGCGGTCACACCATGTGCCTGACAGCGTCGTCCAAATGCTCCTTGAATGCTGTCAGGCTTGGTGCTGTGACCGCTTGGGGCGCCTGTTGCTGTGCCTGACCACTGTCTGGATGAAGAAACTTTTTCTAATATCCAGCCTAAATCTCCCCTGACAGTGCTTGAGGCCATTGCCCTGGGTTTTTGCTGGTTGCCAGAGACCCGTGCTGCCCATGCAGTTCCCTCAGGAGGAGGCTGTGGACTGCAGTGATGCAGGGGTGCAGCGTGGGGCCCCTCTGAGCACTCGGGTGTGACAGACCACCAAGGACAGCCAGGCACCATAAAACCCTGCAAAGCAGCACTGCTCCTGTGCCATCCAGACATCCCAGGGATCAGCTGGGCCTGAGGCACCCACAGATAGTACCGGAGGGATGCTGAGGGGAGGACACTGGCCATGCCTTGGCTGTGCAGGGGGATCATGAACAGCCTTTAGCTTCTGAGAAGCAGAGCCCCTATTTCCAGGGCTGTGCTGCTCCCTGGCCCTTGCCATGAGCTGTTGCCTGTTTGTTTACTCAAGCCTGAACAACAGCAAAGACTTCAGTAAAATTCCACTGCCTCCTTACATTGCAATTTATAATGTGTACTAATACATGGAATCGTAGAATCGTTAGATTGAGAAGACTTCTAAGATCATCAAGTCCAACCATTAACCCAACACTGTCATGTTCAAAACAATCATGTCCCCACATGCCACACCTTTTTAAACACTTCAGGAATGGTAACTCCAACACATACTTGGCCAGCCTGTTCCACTTCCTGACCACCCTTTCAGTGCAGCAGTGTTTCCTAATATCCAGTAGAAACCACTCCTGGAGCAACTTATCCTACTGCTTGTTACCTGGGAACAGACACCAACCCCCACCTGGCTACAGCCTCCCTCCAGGGAGCTGTGGAGAGTGATAAGACTCCTGAGGCTCGTTTTTTCCAAGCTAAACAAACACCAGCTCCCTCAGCTGCTCCTCACAACACTTGTGCTCTGGACACTTCATCAGCTCCTTCTCTGCCCTTCTGTGGACATGCTCCAGCACCCCAATGTCTTTCTTGTAGTGAGGGCCCCAAAACTGAATACAGGATTTGAGCTGTGGCCTCACCAGTACCAAGTATGAGGGAAAAATGTTAACATTGTTAATACACTTTCATAATATAAAGACTGCTTGATAACATAGCTAGGGAAGGGAATTTCCCTAACACTGTGTGGCAGTAGAAACTGGCTTTGCACACTGAATTATCCTGTGTGAGGTTTTGCAGCAACTCCAGCAGGCTCGACCTCCATCCTGCCCCTTCCTGGGTGCCTTCCCCCTCACCCCCAATCTGGTCAGCCTCTCCCCAGCCCAGTGCTCCCCTGCCTGTGATACAGGCAGGAAGGGGCCTGGGCAGAGGCACTGCAGGAACAGAGATAGGCTCAGTTTTCCTCATTCTGAGGTTAGAGCAGGAGGATGACATGCAGTTATGTAAAACCTCAGAGGTCCAGTGTACCTCAGTGGCCTATGGTCCACCTTGCTGCATCTCCTGATCTTTGGCTCAACCCTGAGTTTGGCTCCACCGTGGTGTGGAAGGAGGTCCAGAACCCATTCTGCTGCCTGCTGGTGCTGGCTCTCCCTGCCCTTTGAACCATGGTACCTCCAAAAGGCAGGAGATGTGCCAGGGCAGAAAGAAGGTTGCAGGAGAATGAAGCAGCAGTCTGGAGAGGGGGGCGAAGGGGAGAGAGACAGGGTTAATGAAAGCTGACATCACATGGCCACTGTGGCGTTTTTGATCTTGACAAAGGCAGACGGTTTCCCTCATTGCCAGCGTGAGACAAATTACAGGTGAAGCAGAAGAGATTGCAAGATATTTCTGGCTGTTTTGGAGTTTGGTGGGGGGAAGGGAGGATGAATTCAGGGCAGACGTGTCCTAAAGATGGGAGACAAGCAGATGCAATAAATAACAAGAGCCAGCTCCCAGGCTGAGGGGATGTAGAGAGCAAATAGAACAATGTTCCTTTTGGGCTGCTGAAGGTGTGCAAATATGTTAAAAGCTCTGGCACCCACCTAAAAGGTGTTTGCCCTCTTTCTGTTCCCTGTTACCTATTCTCTGGCCCCACTGAAGGACCTGGGTGGCTTTAGGGTCTGGTCAGGGACACGCTTGCTGTGCCCTGCTCCTGCAGGCTTCAGTCTTCTCACCATGCTGGTGTCTGTGGATATTCAGCAGATCCAGATGAGCTACCACTCATCCCACAGTTAGAAAATTATTTTTCATGGTAGGGGGCATTGTAAGGAAGTGGAGACTCAGGTTGGCACTGTGCCTGCAGCTCTTGCCTAGATCTGTAGGTTGGCAAGGAGAGGAGGGCAGAGGGATGAGATGTGGTTGGTGTTGGAAGCCAGAGTGTATTGCACATATCCCTGAGTAACTGTGTCAGGTTGTTTCACCTCATGCTGCCCCATTTCCATTTTGCAAAGTGGGAGTAATGAGTTGATCTCTTCTTCTGAGTGGTGCAGGAGAGCTGAGATGGGTGTCAGGACACTGGCCCAGAGTGTCAGCAGAAGGGACAAGAGCAGGGCATGATATGGAAGGAGAGAGCTCCTGATTTTACTCTGTGGGCCATTGTACATTGCTCTGGTAGCACAAACCATTCCACAAATGGGTAGAAGTGTATTGCAGTCAACATGAAGATGTTCTGATGCTGCCAAAAAACAACAATTGACATCAGCAAGACTTGGCCTGGCCATCATGAGTGCTCCCTTGGAACAGGGCAGCTGCTCCTGCAGTAGGACTGCACCAGCCAGTACAGAAATGTTAAAAAGCACACCTTGTCCTCATGTATCCATGTATCCATGGCCAATTTGCTGTATGATTCATCCAGTAGCTGCATCTCAAGATATTTTCTCTCTGATTTCTCCCTTGGTTCTCTCTGAGCACCCAGAGGAGCACAGGAGACAGGTTTTGGAGACGGTCTGGAGAGGAGCACTGACCCCAGCATGGTCCCAGCTGTCTCAGTGACGGCTCCCAGCTCCTGACAGCCCCATTCAGGAGAAGCTCTAGGAGATGTCACCTGCTCATGCATTACTGCTCCAGGCTAACTTCTTGCCATCCCTCCTGGGAAGCCTGCAAAATAGAGCTCGTGTGTATTTGATTGCACTTGTTCTCTCACTAATAGACAAAAATTATATCATTTGCAGCAAGTGCAGATTATTAGAGAAATTAATGACATTTTCACATATGTTGCTGGCAACTTCTGCTTCCTTTGGCAAAAGCTCTTCACAGCTATATTTAGATCCAAAGTCAGCTTTTTCATTCTGCTCTTTAATTTAACTCACTATACACATTTCCTTCATTTTTGATCAACTCAGCAAAGCTTCTCTAATGTTTTGGGTTTTTTTTTTTAAGTTGCAGTAGCACCCAGAAGGTGGGTTAGTCTGCTTTCCCACCAGACTATCCCCAGCTGATGCCCTGCCATGCATCCCATGTGCCTTCTGCATCCTGCTGTAGCTCCCTCACCTCCTGCAGCAGAGCAGGGAAGCATTTCTGTGGCCCTTGCTGAAGTTTTGTCCTCTACTGCAGACCTTGGGAAAGGCAAGTTTGATAAACTCCATCTTCTCCCATGCTTCTACCTACATCGGGAGAGTAATACTGGGAGACTGGTGTTGCTTTAAAGATAGGCGTCGACCTGGGTCTGGTCATCTCAGAATGATGCTGATGAAAGGCTAAAAGATGCTAAAGCCCAGTGGAAAAACTTGTTAAGAAAGACTGGAATAACATTTAAGCAGGCCTGGGATTAAGCTGAGCTCAGTACATTGTTTATGCTGTGATTTATGGACGTGCTACAAGCAAGAAGAATGTGACTGAGGTTGCCTGACCATCTCCATTTCTTCCAGCCAAGACTTTTTTCTTTGGTTTTGAGAAAGGTTTCATGATTTCTGCTCTGGCTGGGTGGCCCTCTCACATCAAACCTGATCCCATGTTCACCTTCATCTTGCAGGTGAATTTGTGGTTGCCCAGAGATATGGAGGGAGTCAGGGGGGTGGTGATAGGCGGGTGTCCTGGGATTAATGGCTTTGAGGGGCTCGGTGTGTGCACAGACATTCAGAGGCTTCCTCCAAGCCAGGTGAAGGGGGCTGGAAGGCCCCAAGGCACCAGGCAGAATGATATGCACAAGTTAATGCCTGGAAGACCTGAGTGGCACACAGCTGCCTCATCTGAGGTGGAAGCTGAGCTGCAGCTGAAGTGTTTCCATGCAGATTGAGCTGCACTGGCACATCAATGCCTGTAGCTGTCTCGCAGCTTTAGCTCTTGTTGGAAACCAAAGGATGTGACAGCACCTGAGAGCCCGGTCACAGGCAGCAAGCAGCTGAGTCAGAGGCACAGGGTCTTCAAGCATGTCCCAACTCCAGCAGCACAAAGCCCTGTGTTTTTTTCTTGCTGCATCCAAGGGTGCTTCAGACTCATCTGGGGGGTTTCCTGCTTGAAGCAAGAGAGGCTGCCATGTCGTGACCTTGCCTACTGCTGTGGTGGTGGCTGCAGAAAGACGTGATCACCATTCCGTGTCACGTCCTCCCAGTGTTTGCGTGGCAGGGAAGTGAGCCAGAGGAAAAAATGACCTCGTGAGTCAAAACTATTGCTGTTCTGGGGTTTTGGCTGCATGAGCAGCATGCTGGCATTAAGCCCGAGCTTAAATCTGGGAATACGTTGAAGACTGGCAAATACACACTGGCTCTGAGGTGACCTAGAACAGAGAGTCGGGACAGTTGGCTAGGGACAGTGGGAGGAGCTTACACGTTGTGGCACGAATATACCTGGCCTGGCAGGCTCT